GCATATCTAACTTTACATACAAGTACCCCAGGTCAGAAGAGAACAAAGCAATATGGTATATTTACAATTCCTATAAGAAGATCCAATTATGTAGAATTTTCATTTCCAGTTTGAAATAATAATATAGTCTTCAAAAGAAGCAAATGAACGACCAGGTAACAGGCCAGTCATAGCAACCTGTGTTTAAACTTTTTAGCTAGTGTCTGTGCAATCTCTTAACATGAAAAATGTACTTTCAACTGTTGAATAATTAGCTGTTTTTAGCCATTAGACAGAGTAGCCTTTATGAGTGACAAACCAGATCTCACAGCAGCACAGCGGTTTGTAAATATATATATAATCACTCTTGACCTGCCTCAGTTTTTTGTTTAAGCTACAGTAATCCAAAGGAGTCCATGTAGAGGTAATGCATTTTACATTTTGAGCTTCTCTGCCTATTTTACCCCACATAACTTGAGGTGAGATCTTGGTGCTAGGACCGTGTGTGTGTGTGTGTGTGTGTGTTGTCCTAGGCCTAAAAGTGACACTGGGGATATGTAGTTCTTGGAATTCTTTATTTTTTTATTTTACCAGACCAAAGTCTCCTTTTAAAAAACTTTACATTTTTTAAACAAATCCACCCTATGAACAGGACCCCAAAAATTACCTTGTGAAGGAGGTGACAGGTTGGGTAAGCAGAGCAGAAATGGGAAGGGAAGGGGGTTTCACAGCAGTTTCCCTGTTCTTTCTGCAGGGAATGTTCCTGCTGTTTTCTTTTGTATGGGAAAAAGCTCCCTTCGGAGATGGCTTCTGTGTTGCTCTCCTTGCTGCTGCATCGCAGCACTGAGTAATATGGACCAGGGCAGAGGGTCTATATCAATCTAGCAAGGCAGAAAAATGAATGAAAATTGAATTCCCTTGGGAGGGGGGGAGGGAGGGAGGGAGGGAGAGCTGTGCTCCAGACAGAAAGATAAATCAAAGGATGCTGGGGAGGAAGAAGAGTGATGAACCAGCTCTCCGTCAGAATGGAATAATTAGGGGAACAGGTTGGAAAGGCAAAGGGTGCAGGAAAGTGGAGAGATTGGGAGGACAGCCTATCCGTGTGCCACAGAAGAGCAAAACATATTTACCCAGGAGATTCCAGAAACCCTGTTTTTAGCACGTATTAGACCCACAGGAAGCGATTCCCCAAATAAGCAGGTAAGGCGTACCATGGCACACAGGCTGCCCCCGCCTCCCGTTATATTATGGAGGGAAAAGACTGAAAAGAAAGGCATTCTCCATACACGTTGACCACTTTGTTTCTGGGCTGATCCCAGAGAATAAGGGACTCCCTGTCTAGTTTGCATATGTGTTCAATAAATGCGCATTTATTAAGGCCGTCCTAACATGCTGTCTTGATGTTGCGTTTCTGTTCTCAGGCTGAGAAGTAAGAATTGTACTTTGAGGGGAGAATCTAGAACTTATTTCACTTGTACTGGAGGAGGGTTTTGCCCCCACAGAGGTAAAGAGAAGGATACTAATAGTACGTTGGTCTTTCAACAATGTCTCTCATTTCTGGAACAGCTGTCTGCCAACGCTTTCACCGTGAACGAAGGCAAAGCAAGCTCTAATTTGACTACAGGAATCAGGATGAAAGGGGAAACCATGGACTTGATAAGGAGTGTATGACAAGACAGAATTACTCAGAGGCTGCCCCAGGAACAAATCAGGTTCTATGCCATTGTTACACTGAGAGAGCTCACTTCCACAATGTATGTTAACGGCAGCTACGTAAGACAACAGGAATCCATGATGGTACGTCGCTCACTGGCTATTTGCCATGTTAGTGAAAAAGGAAACCTCCATAACCAGAGGCAGTTTACCAGATGCTTAAAATAAAATAAAATAAAATAAAATAAAATAAAATAACAGTTGCCCTGTTTTTGTGAGCTGAGGTATTTGGCTGATAGGGTGGCCAGGTGAAAAAGTAAACACAATACGTTACACCTGCTGGAATTTCCTCTTCTGCACAACTGTCTGGAAACTGAATGCTGGCTTAAACAGGCCCTGGGTCTGATTAAGCAAAGCTGTTCTCTAGTTCCTAAAAGGAATCAGAGCTCTTGGCTAAGGAGAAATCATGCAGACAATGACGTATTTGTAAGCAATGTTGTTTTGTATTATTTGTGCTTCTTTTTAAAAACAAATATTAACTGTTCAGGAAGGTAATGGGAATCGCAGAGGTTTGAGTAGGGGCACATGACCGAGGGCCACAATGGAATGCACACATGAACTCTAAAACCTCTGGAATCTTTTGCAAGCATCAGTTACATACAGCGCTGTTTTTATAGAAAAAGAGGTGCTGGAACTCACTGTGAACGCCTCTCTTGTTATAATGACAATGGCGCCCACCTGAGGGGCCAGTACTGAGTTCTGGTGAGTTCCAGTTGAAAAAAAAGCCCTGGTTACATGATATAAAAGGAATCTCCCCAACCACAATTTGCATGCACTACTTCCTGAAGAATCTAAATTCTGAGCCAGGGACATAATAGACTCTTGTCTATTTTACCTAGAGATCCAGCAGGAATTAAAGTTCAAATGTCTAATTTATTCATCATTGCTCATCTCCACCCCCATATCTGGCCACAGTCTTGTATCATTTATATACACCCATGTTCAAAATAATCAGTAAATTTCAAAAAGCATATATAAACCCTGTTGGGGCCAACTATAAATCCTTTTGCTTTTTCCACTCCTGCAGTCCTGTGGCAGGAGAAGCAGCAACATCTGACAATATTTTTCACTTTGTGTCATTATCAAAAGCACTGTGTCTCACTTGCCAAATCCACACTGGACATAGAAAGGGCCTTTTCAGTATTAATGAGAAAGCCCCTTCTGCCTTGATGGCTAATACCTGGGGGTACAAGGATGGCCCAGTGGAGGAAAGGTCTGGGCAATCTTTGACAGCTGAACTGAAGTCAGGGAGAATCCCTGCAGGTGTGGCTTCTCATGCAAGCTACACCCCTTGAAATCTCCTCTGACTTTATGACATCTGCCAAAAGAACACCAATTATCAACACCAAGAGGGAATTTACAAAGGCCTTGTAGCCAGTGGGATCATTCCAGCACTTCAGTTGAAGAGATGACCTTTTTCTTTCTCTTAAGCAGGGGAAACAAATAAACCAAGTAGAGTATACAGTATGCAAGTTGTGCAGTTCTGGTGCAGAGAAACAGAAAATGATAAATCCCAGCTGTTAGGAAAAATCAAAACTGCCCAAGACTGTGCATTCCATGCCCAGTTATCAACAAAATCAAGGAACCCCGATCTGCAGCCTTGCCCTTTTTCATTCTGCTCTTGTGAGAATATATTAGAGGATTTTATTTCGCAAAACAGGAAGCAATACAGTAGTTGCACACTCGCAATGCATTCAGGAATTATATATCGCTAACTTAATGCAGCCTCCGTCTTTCTTCGTAAGAGAGGAATATATCAGATGTGTAGTTATAAGCTGATGGAAATACGGGACACAATCCACCAGAAAGTTCAGCAGCACAAGTCCCCTCAAAATGCACAGGAGCTGTGTAAGAGTGCGATTGCGTGATTGTGCTGAACTCAATAGCAACTTCAATTCATTTTAAAGGGGGCTTGTGCACGCAGGAACCTCTTGGCAGATTTTGTCGGTAAATATTGACACATAAATAAGAATGGCTGTACTTACCAGAGGCAAAAGCAAGGTGGGTCTCTCATTTCAAGACATGGAGAGGAAGTTAGCCTGACCTGAAAACAATGAAAGCCATTTGTAACCAGCTGCCCCCACTGTCTGGCATCTAATTCCCCTTCATCCCCTGGGCAGGGCCTGTTTCCGACGGGAGAAAGAATGGAAAGTAAAATAAAGGCATAAAGGAGATTCCCAAATGGAAAAGGAAAGAGGAACTGAAAAGAGCAGGAGTGAAAGGGGAAGAGGCTAAGGGTGCCAGATCTCTGAGCAGAGAAGGTACTGCGATCTCCACAATGTGGAGCCGAGAAAGTGACTCCGTCTGTGGGTCAGGGGAGGAGGGGGTGATGGTGGAAAACAACCTCAGAGAAAATTAAATTGCACTTGAGGGCAAATTCTATTAGGGAATAGCAACTGTCTCTCAACAGCCTGCGTCCATTTAGGTAATTAAGCTGCAGGATAGGAATCGCCATGCAGGAGCAGGACTTCCTTTCCTACTGCAGACGGCAGAACTAGGCTTCATCCAGAGGTTCCTCACATAGGGAGGGCCCAGCTGGCTCTGGTTTAAGGTGGTCTTTGCCTGCAGGCTGCCCTCCAGATCTTGTGTGCTGCTGCTGAGAGCTGAAGTCCAAAACATCTGGAGGCACCAGGTAAAAGTTGGCTCGGGGAATTGGGTGCGGCCATGTCAGCATTAAATGGGAAAGGCTTAGAAGCAGAGAATTGTCAAGTTGGAAGGGATGCCAAGAATCATCTAGTCCATAGCTGTCAACTTACAGCTTTGAAAATAAGGGACCAGCAGCCTTGAAAATAAGGGACTAACAGCCAAAATAAGGGATTTTAGTCAACCAGCTGAAATACGAAGTTAAAAGGGACCAGATAATTTTGGAGAGCAGCGCCAATTTTTAGCCCTTTATTTCCAGAGGTTGCTGCTCAAGACACCAGCCAATGAAACACTGCAATTAAATAACTACAAGCAGCAACCACTTTTCGTGCAAAACGAAGTCCAAGCTACGAAGATGCTGCTGCAGTTCTGTATCTTTTCTCTCGTGCTCCATCTACAGCTCTCAATTCCATCAGGTGGGGCGGGAGGAAGGGGGGGGAATAGCGCCCGAAGTAAACCCGCAGATCAGACCATCTATGCTAGTCTACCACTACAAATCTATAGGAGCTGCTTCCTTTGAAACCCGGGAAATTTAAGGGACATCCATCAATAAGGGACAGCAGCGGGACATGGCTTTGGGATAAGGGACTGTCCCTCCAAATAAGGGATGCTTGACAGCTATGATCTAGTCCAACCTCCTGCAATGCAGGAATCCTGCCTATGGCTGTCCCTGAGTGGGCATGAACCACCAACCTTCCGATTAACAACCAGACGCACTGACCCATTGAGCCACAGAGACTACCAGGGAATGCAACACTCCTGGTGGGTAAGTAAGAAAGACAGGCATCTTCAAATATCTTCAAGGCTGTCCTATGGAAGTTGGAACAAGCTGGTTTTCTCCTGTTCCGGAGGGCAGGACTTGAACTCATGGCTTCAAGTTACAAGGAAGGAGATTCTGACTAAATGTCAGGAAAAATGTTCTGACAGTAAGAGCTGTTCGCCAGTGGAACAAGCTCCCATGAGAGGTGGTGGACTCTCCTTCTTGGAGGTTTTTAAGCAGAGGTTGGATGGCCGTCTGTCATGGATGCTTTAGCCAAGATTCCTGCATTTCAGGGGGTTGGACTGGATGACCCCTGGGATCCCTTCCAACTCTATGATTCTATGATTGTAAGTAACAGCTCTCTCTGCTACCAGTACAGAGAGGCAGTAATGGTGAAATAATAATAATTATTATTATTTATTATTTATACCCCACCCACCTGGCTGGGTTTCCCCAGCCATTCTGGGCAGCTTCCAACCAAATATAAAAAACAATACAGCATCAGATATTAAAAACTTCCCTAAACAGTTGTCTTTTAAAAGTAAAATAGTTGTTTTTCTCTTTGACATCTGACGGAAGGGCATTCCACAGGGCGGGCGCCACCACCGAGAAGGCCCTCTGCCTGGCTCCTTGTAACCTCACATCTTGCAGTGAGGGAACCGCCAGAAGGCCCTCGGAGCTGGACCTCAGTGTCCGGGCTGGATGATGGGGGTGGAGGCGCTCCTTCAGGTATACAGGACCGAGGCCGTTTAGGGCTTGAAAGGTCAGCACCAACACTTTGAATTGTGCTCGGAAACGTACTGGGAGCAGCAGCACCTGTAACATTCCTACCAGTCACAAAGTCTTTAAGAACTCAGGAGCCCTCACAGGTTAATAAAACAGCAGGTGCTCCAGTGCTAAATGAAGCTTGACTGTAGCCTGCCCTGGCGACTCCATGGCTTTGCCAACCACTGTGTCCTTTCTCTTGGTTTCCTTCCTATTCCCTAAGCTGAACTGCAGCTGCCCATGAACATTCTTTCCTACTGAGCAGGGAAAGGGGCTCCTGCCCCTTTAATAGCTGTCACGTGAGCTATTCTGGTTGATATTTTCTCTGCTGTGTCACTATTCAAAAGTGCAGGACCTTGTTCATACCAAAGTGATGCCATGTGTGGACTGTACCACTTCCTGTCGTAGATGGAGGGTGATCTGGCCCTGTTCTCCTGACCCAGATCAGGTCCCTGTGCCAGTTCCTGGCCAAAAATCCTCCCCGCCAGCTGTTATTTGCCCCCAAAATGCGCTGTTGACTGCAAATAGAAATATCCTGCAGACAAATCTTTGGAGATCTGCATCCTGACAATCTGAGAAAGCGGGGGAATCTGCCATTTCATATTTGAAAACAGCAAAGAGACTTGCAGCACCTTGAAGACTGCCAAATGTGTTATTGCATAAACTACTGCTTATTACTGCATAATAAACAGATCACTGTTCTCTCTGCATGTCTCAGTGTTGATCTAGTAGTGGCTTTCAAACTGTCATGGGGGCCTGAGGTTCCTCAGAAGAGTCTCAGCAATGTTTCAGTATGAAACAAAAACAATGGGATACTGTGGTTCCTCGAAGACTAACACTTTTATTACGGCATGAGGTTTTATGGAATACAGTCCCCTTCAACAGATGCTTTAAGAATTATACTGAGTTACAGGTATACAGGTAGAGAGAGAGAGAGAGAGAGAGAGAGAGAGAGAGAGAGGTACCTCGGGTTAAGTACTTAATTCGTTCCAGAGGTCCGTTCTTAGCCTGAAACTGTTCTTAACCTGAAGCACCATTTTAGCTAATGGGGCCTCCCGCTGCCGCCGCGCCGCCAGAGCACAATTTCTGTTCTCATCCTGAAGCAAAGTTCTTAACCCGAGGTAATATTTCTGGGTTAGCAGAGTCTGTAACCTGAAGCGTATGTAACCTGAGGTACCACTGTATATATATATTCTCCAGTGTGTGTGTTTGTGTGTTTGCTGTGGTCTAAAGCACAGAGCCTAGGGCTTGCCAATCAGAAGGTTGGCGGTTCGAATCCCCGCAACGGGGTGAGCTCCCATTGTTCGGTCCCAGCTCCTGCCCACCCAGCAGTTCGAAAGCACGTCAAAGTGCAAATAGATAAACAGGTACCGCTCCAGCAGGAAGGTAAACGGCGTTTCCGTGCACTGCTCTGGTTTTGCCAGAAGCGGCTTAGTCATGCTGGCCACATGACCCAGAAAAACTGTCTGCGGACGAACGCCGGCTCCCTTGGCCAGTAAAGCGAGATGAGCGCACAACCCCAGAGTCGCCTGCGACTGGACCTAATGGTCAGGGGTACCTTGACCTTTTAAGGTACCATAAGACTTTGTTGTCCTTGCTGAATTCGACTACCCTTATAAATGTTGTCTTAATGAGAAGATCAGTAATTCTGGATAAGCTGTCTACAGCCTCCTGATCTGCTACAATCCTCCATCACAGGTGAAGACCGAATCCAGAAGAGAAGAGAGTGAATCCCAAAAGGTCCCAGGGTTCCTTGGCAGACAGTTCAACAAAGAAAAATATTCCCTGAGGGCGGAATGTTAGAAAACCACTGCTTTACACGCTGAAGAGCACCACTAGTGGGTGGAATGAAGTCAGAACAGCTGAACTGTGGTTTGTGGTCATCCGAGCCTGATTCAATGCAAGCCTGCAGCATGGATAATAACTGAAATACTAACATGCAAAATAAAGAAGGGGCTGTCAGTGCTTGTGCACTAATATGCTGGGAGCAAAGACCATGACAGAAATAATAATAATAATAATAAAATGCCTCCAAGTTGCAAGATGGGCATGGCAGTGATGCTAAGCCTGAGAGCTTGCTGTTCTTTAATGTAAGAAGTATTAAAATGAAGGACAGCTTTGAGAGTGTTGGATGGGAGGGGCCACTTCTTTGAACTCCATCCTGTTTTATTTTAAATATAGTATCGATCTTTCCTGCTGCAGTAAGCAGCAGCAAGCATCCTTCCTGCTTTTACGAGCTCCCCCTGCCCAGCACTGGATATTTTTTATTCTCACCATTATTAGGATCTCTCAAAACGTTACATGGGAAAATACGCTTCATGGTGGGTGGGTGGGTGTTAGTTGGCAGGGCACACATTTGACACTTTCTTAAAAAAATTAAAACATCACATTGAAGCATATTTTTTCAACAGCCAACCCAGCCATATAAAGGTAAAAAAAGGGCACCATCACCTAGAGCTGCAAAATCCTAGGCCGATGTACTGGGGAAAGAGACAATTTGAGGAGGTACACAGAATTTTGGGGTGGGGATGAAGGGATGCACCCTGCATTCCAGCTGGGGCTGCAGTGATTGCCATGACATAGATGAGCAGCCCACCTAAAAAGGTAAAGGGACCCCTGGCAATTAAGTCCAGTCATGGATGACTCTGGGGTTGCAGTGCTCATCTCGCTTTACATGCCGAACGGAGCTGGCGTTTGTCTGCAGACGGTCTTTCCGGGTCATGTGGCCAGCAAGACTAAGCTGCTACTGGCGAACCAGAGCAGCACACAGAAACGCCGTTTACCTTCCCGCCAGAGTGATACCTATTTATCTACTTGCACTTTGACGTGCTTTCGAACTGCTAGGTTGGCAGGAGCAGGGACCGAACAACAGGAGCTCACCCCATCGCAGGGATTCGAACCGCCGACCTTCTGATTGGCAAGCCCTAGGCTCTGTGGTTTAACCCACAGCGCCACCCACATCCCCCTCTGTCCCTATAATTCCCGCTTCTGGTGGCTTTTTTTTTTTACAAACATTAGTTTAAACATTCTTTTCATTTCATTATATATCATTTCCCAGTAATGTTTACAAGCACATGCTCTAGCGTCTTTCTGCACATACTGACGCCTGCTCAGCATCAGAGCCACTTCTCACTTTTCTGTACACATTAACAAAGCATGGCAAAGGTAAAGGTAAAGGGACCCCTAACCATTAGGTCCAATCGTGGCCAACTCTGGGGTTGCGGCGCTCATCTCGCTTTACTGGCTGAGGGAGCCAGCGTACAGCTTCCGGGTCATGTGGCCAGCATGACTAAGCCACTTCTAGCGAACCAGAGCAGCGCATGGAAACACTGTTTACCTTCCCGCCGGAGCGGTACCTATTTATCTACTTGCACTTTGACATGCTTTGGAACTGCTAGGTTGGCAGGAGCAGGGACTGAGCAACAGGAGCTCACCCCGTCACGGGGATTTGAACCGCTCACCTTCTGATCGGCAAGTCCTAGGCTCTGTGGTATAGACCACAGCGCCACCCTAGAGGACAGGAAATAAAGAGAAAACAGTTGTTTGAGATGAAAATAAATGGGAAAACAACATTCTGGTCAGCTCTTGAGCTTGGAACGTGGCACCGTTAATACTGCCTGGCACAGGAAATGCCCGCAGCTGGCAGGAGGGGAGGAACAGCCCTTACCAATAGAGCTATGGCAGCAACAGGTCACAGGGGGCAGTCCTGCTGCCACCATCTGCACCGAAGAGAAGAGGTATACATGTGGCTGGATCTGAAAGCGCTCTTGGAGCAGCCCCTACCACGCAGACCAGGTGTTCCAGAGGATTGGGAATGAACGTACCAAACAGGATTACAGAAAGGCCACTTACGGGACACTCTTTCTCCTGCCTTTCCCGCCAGCTGCATCTCCCGCACGCTGTTAAATCTCTATACTCTGCCTGATAGTAAAATACTAATCCAAGCCACCTTGCCGGATGATTCAACTTAGCTGCTTTGCCCTGCTGCTGCTCACCGCTTGGCTCACCCCCCTTTTCGCTAAGTAGGGCCACCCCTCTCTTAATCTGGACCGGGATAGCTTGGCCGCAATGGTTCACACAGTGGGAACTGCACGGTTGGATAACTGCAATGCATCTTATGTGGGGCTGCCCTTAGGGTTGATCCAGAGGCTGAAGCTGGTGCAAAACGTGGCAAATACTGTATTTTTTGCTCTATAAGACTCATTTGTTCCTTCCTAAAAAGTAAGGGGAAATGTGTGTGTGTGTCTTATGGAGCGAATGCAGGCTGCGCAGCTGTCACAAAAGCCAGAACAGCAAGAGGGATTGCTGCTTTCACTGCGCAGCGATCCCTCTTGCTGTTCTGGCTTCTGAGATTCAGAAATTTTTTTTCTTGTTTTCCTCCTCCAAAAACTAGGTGCGTCTTGTGGTCTGGTGCGTCTTATAGAGCGAAAAATATGGTAGGTTGCTTGGGGTGGAGGGGTGGGGGAGAACTACCACCAGCATTTAACACCTTGCTTGCAGCATTGGCACTGGCTGCCAGTTTGCTACTGGACCTAGTACTAAGAAACTACTCTACTCCCAACTTTAGAATGCAAAGCAAAATGCCAATTTAAAGACAATTTAAAGACACCCTCAAGGCCAATCTATGCAGTATAAGCACAGATAATTGGAAAACAATGGCCCGTGAGCACCCCAATTGGAGAATAAAGGTAAAGATAAAGGTATCCCTGACCATTAGGTCCAGTCACGGATGACTCTGGGATTGCATGCTCATCTCGCACTATAGGCCAAGGGAGCCGGCGTTTGTCTGCAGACAGCTTCCGGGTCATGTGGCCAGCATGACTAAGCCACTTCTGGCGAACCAGAGCAGCACACGAAAATACCGTTTACCTTCCCAATGGAGCGGTACCTATTTATCTACTTGCACTTGACGTGCTTTTGAACTGCTAGGTGGGCAGGAGCTGGAAATGAACAATAGGAGCTCACCCCGTTGTGGGGATTCGAACTGCTGACCTTTCGATCGGCATGATCAACTCCTGCCCGGAAACCTATGTCCCCACTGTTGAAGGACGTGTGGATCCAGAACTGGCCTCCACAGTCACTTACGGACTCACTTTTAAGACCGTGTTCATGGAAGACAATCTTTTTTTTTTTTCAAATATCATTTTTATTAAAATTTTTCCATTATACAAATTCCAATATCAAACATTTTTCACAAATTTCAACTTTTTGGACTTCCATCAGCTTCTCTGCCAATCATTCATATTTTCCCATTTTAACACATTTTCTAAATTTGATATTGCATTTTAATATTACCTTTACTATCCTCTTTCTGTTTAACAATACTCCTCTACCTTTCACAAAGCCTCTTTGAATCCCACTAGCGTTGTTTGTTCACCACATATACTTTTCAGATATTCTACAAATTTTCCCCAGTCCTCGATAAACTTGTGGTCCCGTTGATACCTAATCTTCCCAGTTAGTTTGTCCAATTCTGCATAGTCGATAAGTTTCATTCTCCATTCTTCAAGAGTTGGTAGTTCCTCCTGTTTCCATTTTTGGGCCATTAATATTCTTGCTGCTGTTACTGCGTATTGAAAGAGTTTATTATCCCTTCTATTTATTTCTCTTCCTATTATTCCTAACAGAAAGGCTTCTGGTTTCTTTACAAATGTGGAAGACAATCTTACTTGACTACAAGGGATCACCAAAGAAGATAAGTCCTGACACAGCTCAGGACTAGGTTACTTAAGAGACACCTCATAACAAATACACCCAGTAATTCACTGTGGACTGAAAGGACTGTGTGTTGAGTTGTGGGTTGACATATCAGACGACACAGCGATTCTTCAAAGAGCTCTTGTTTATTCACAGGCCAGAACAGAACTGAACTGAAGGGTTCAGCCAGCCTGCTATATAGAGCTCCACTACAACGCAACTGTAACAACTTGCTGTAACTATCCAATCACTGAACGTCACTTTCAATCCCTTATTTGCATATGTGGACCTGAGTGAAAACTATCTACAGTATCCCCCTGCTGGCCCAGGGTGAGAACTTCAGTACATAACACAGTGTTTCCTTCAAGTTCCAAAGATCTCGGACAGGTGCTCCACAGGAACTCAGAGAAGGGCTTTTGGTGTGGCTGCCCCTGTTCGGTGGAATAGAATTCCTGTCGAAAAACAACAGACGTCCACTATCTGTGCTTTCCAGAAACAGCTGAAGACGTTTTTGTTTTCCGACAGGCTTTCCCAGCTGGATAAATGGGTTTTTTCCACAAGCATCCAGTTGTTAGGGTTTTAAGTCATGTTTTAAATGTACTGGTTTTGCGTTTTTAATTGTTCTTAGTTATCCTGCGTGTAAATCGTCTTGCGATTGCGCTTTACTTTTTTCCAATAAATTTTATTAAAGTTTGAAAGGAAAGGTTAATATCAAATATTTTTATCAAAGATAAAAGAAACTAATATAAATAAAAACACAAACCGAAAGGAAGGAAAAAAAGCAGAGAAGGAAGCAAAAAAACCCCCAGAACTTCTGATTCTTCGTTTGTGAGTTATATATACAAAATTATTCAAAACATCCACTCCAAAATAACACCCAACAATTCCACTTTCTATAAAACCAGTATTTTCTTCAATTCTCAAACCCAGATATTCTAAGTTCATTTTCTTTTTTAAGCAAAAAGTCTATAAGGTGTTTCCAATCTTTAGTAAATACAGTGGTACTTCGGGTTACAGACGCTTCAGGTTACAGACTCCACTAACCCAGAAATAGTACCTCGGGTTAAGAACTTTGCTTCAGGATGAGAACAGAAATCGTGTGGCGGCGGCGGGAGGCCCCATTAGCTAAAGTGGTACCTCATGTTAAGAACAGTTTCGGGTTAAGAACAGACCTCCAGAACGAATTAAGTTCTTAACCCGAGGTACCACTGT